AACACAAGTATCTGTACTTTTACTCAAGTACATAAAGTGAGTACTTTTGCCATCTCTGCCCTGAGGTCATTGAAGCTTTCTCACAGCGGTTCGTTAAAAATGGCCGAGGGTTTGCTTGTCGTAAATACATTTTTTACTTACCGGTGGTGAGTCTGACATAGTGGAATAATTGCATTTCTTTTGGAAAGTAAGCTTGTATGAGCGATGCAAACAGCAACTTGTAAACAGAGCGTGCACGAGGAGAAATGGGCTCGTGCACGCTCTCACACGCATTTTATAGGCGTTCCCTTTCGGAAGCAGGTAAAGAGTTGTGCATGTGCTTTTTAATTGTTTTTCCAAAATTCATGAAAAGTCCTTCCCTATACCTTTAAATATTCAAAAGTTAAGCTTTTTATGTTTCTATCTCTCTTTTATACTGTGAGCATATTTCTTCTTATGCTAGAATTAGTGTTACTCGTTTTCTGTGTGCAAAATTCTGGCCAGCGGCAGATTTTCTCAAATGCACTATATGGATAAATTGGATTTGAATTTAAACGGGAAATTTAAAGGACACACATCTAAAAAGTGTCTCATTCCAAAAATTTAAATCAAATTTTTAGACAGTCGCCCAAAAAATCTCACAGATCTCTGTTAAGTTTATCATCTTGGTTTGGAGAGATAATGGACCAACTGCTACCAAGAAATGGACGTCCACCTAAAGCCACAGGCTGCTGGGATGCTTTGTTTTCTGTAGGAACGGACAGGACAACACTATAAGAAAATCTAATATGCAAAGGTTTAATACTGAGGTGGAGGTTGACCTTCCAGCTGAAGGAACCTGTGATATAATGGCCTAATTAAAGTCTAAACCTAAATGTAATTAAGAATCTGTTGTAGAGGTTTAATGTTAACCAAATGCGCCAAAGTTTTAACACATTGATTTGTAGAAACGTTTGAAAAAGTTGACTAGTCGTTTGCTGCTTTGCTTTGGTCTGTCACATAAAATCCACATGAAGGAGATTGAGGTTTGTGACTGTATGATGGAAAAATGGGAATAAATCCAATAGATATGGATACTTTTGCAAGGCAGCGTAAGGTTAACCTCCCTCATACCTTCAATGGGAACACCTTCTCCGCTCGGCCTGTCCGTCCGCCTGTTACTCCATCTACGTTCGGCAGCCGCCGTGCTCTGTCTGTGACTGAATGTCCACCCTGACTACCATACTGCCTGCCCTGATACGACCCTCGGTTCCTTTCCCTCCGCTTCCTCTGTGGGGACATATAGCTCCTGGGACTGGAGCCCCGAGTCCCCGTCCTCACTCTTCACCGCCTCTGGCAGCTCCTCACCTGCATCTTTTACCTCCCTCCATGCCCAGCCCACGTTCACAAACTTCCCATACGGCTCGCAATCCCACCGCCACTCATCGCCCAAGTAAGTCAGGGTCCATCTGTGTGTCCAGATACAGTGTGATGTCATGCCGTCCATCCCCTCACCCTCCCCATGTGACCCCAGTCCTCCCCAGATGCCTGCATGGTAGGCCAAATGCATGAAAACCTGTTTTTATTTCTCATTACGTTTGACAATGCAGTGACTTATCCCGGCTCTTCTCTTTTATTGAGTTGAACCCATATGTTCTACGTGTTTCCTAACTTATCCGACTCAAGCTGAGTATCTGTGTTTGTTCCTTATCTGGTTGATTTGTTCCTGATAACAGAACAATGCCCTTTCCTTGTATTTAAATGAAAGCTGTAAGTCAACGCTCACTGCTTTGTACCTGTTTTTGCTTGTGGCCCAGCAGAGCTTCACCATGCTCCCAAGTTTTTGGCATTGTAAGATGAATACAAAGTGACATTTTGGCTTTTGGTAATTTTGTCCCGCCTCTATGCAGCCTGCTGCTTTGTCTTCTTCTCTGGCTCTGGTCTTGCTGCATGCGCTCTGCTGAAGCCACGTGCCTCCCCTCCGTCGCTCCTTGTTCATTATCCACCCTGTTCGTACTGCAGGAACACGTCAAAGAGGGGCGAGTCCTTCGGGATCAGCCGCATTGGCAGTAAGATCAAAGGAGTGTTCAAAAGCACGACCATGGAGGGCGCCATGCTGCCGTCCTACGGGCTGGTGGAGGGAGAGGATGATATGGTGAGGACAGAAAGAGCCTCAACACTCTTTGTTTGTCTTTCCTGTTATTCTACACTCTAAAGAAGGTGAAAAATGTAAATAAATGCTTCAAGGTTTATAAAAACAGCTAAATTGTCAGAATCCAACTGCAGTCAGATTTCTGCCACATGGGGGCGTGCCTGAGTAAAGAGAATCAGCTTTCTATGCTTTAAGCTTCTCCCCTTGAATGTGTAACAGCTTTCAGACAGACTGGAGAAGTTTCCTTCCTTTGTCTGATTTTCTTTCTCCTGCCTTTTTTCTGCTTTACGTCTTTTTTTGTCCTTTCTGGTCCTGCTTCCTTTTATTTCTTCCTTGCACTCTTCCTTTCCTTCCTTACTAGTTTCCATAATCATCATTTGTCTCCTAGGTTTACCCCGTGTGTCCTTTTTTCTTCTCCTTGTGGTCGACTTCGTGTCCTTCCTTCCTTCCTTCCTTAATGTGTCCATTTTTTGTTTCCTTCCTTCCTTAATGTGTCCATTTTTTCCTTCCTTCCTTCCTTCCTTCCTTCCTTCCTTCCTTCCTTCCTTCCTTCCTTCCTTCCTTCCTTCCTTC